TTCAAAGAGCCGCACAGACTTGATGGGCCGAATGGCCTCTTTTTGTGCTGTACGATTCTATGATTCTATGTCTGCAGATGACATCACTGAGAGTGAGCATGTAGATGAGGAAACCAAGGTGGCCAAAGATGGCGCCTTGGGCTACCCTACAGGTGATTGGGCGGGGGCGGGAGGAAACACCATTTGCCAAGATGTATTGTTGGTGGTTTGTTAAATAGGACTCGAACCATGCAAGTGCGGTCCCACTAAGGTGAATCAGGGAGTAGAGGCAGTGGAGGAGGATGGCGTGACATGGTGGAGAAGGTCCAAGAGAACAAGGAAGCAGATGGAGCCCTGGTCGCAGAGAGAGTGGAAGTAATTTGTTATTTGATGAGCGCTGTCTCTGTGCTGTGAGCAGGGCGACTGGAAGGGTTCAAGTAGGCAGTGGAGGGCAAGGTGTGAAAGAAGTTGATTTGCAACCATGCATTTCAAAACTTTGGCCAGGAAGGGCAGGTGAGATAGGTCTGAAGTTTGTGAAGTTGGAGGCATCAAGGGTAGGTTCTTTTAGGAGAGGACTGATGACAGCAGTTTTGATGGGGAGTGGGACAGAGCCTGAGGAGAGGGACTGGTTGTTTGTTTCAACAGTGGGCAGAGGAGGGGGAGTTAAGTCAACAGAAGATGGGTGGGGAGGAAATCGAGGCAGCACGGGGGTAAAGGAACATAGGGTGGGGGCCGTGCTAGTAGCCGCGTTGGAGGAGAGGTTGATGAAGGATGCATGGAGGGTAGCCAAGGGAGGAGACAGCCAGGCGGATGTTGTATCACCTCTGAGGCAGAAGGTTGTGGATTCAAGAACACATTCTGTTGACCAAAAATAAGTTTCAAAACCTTATCCAAACATATACACTGTAGCATTGCAGAATTGGTTTATTACTTGTACATCAATGCAGTTTGTTAATTAATAATACAGTAGTAAAACTCGCAGGAGTCTGATCCGGATAAATCATATAATGGCCTAACTTATACATCCACGAAGTCGCATTGAATTTCCTATTAAATCCACTTTAATTTATCTGTGCTAGTCATATTAACAATCATATTAACAAGTTGTGTATATATATATATATATATATATATATGGAGTCCTGTAGCTCAGTGGTTAGAGCACTCACTTTGCAAGTGAGAGACCTAGGTTTGATTTCTAGCAGGGCGAAACCTTGGGCAAGTTTCCTAACTCCACACACCTGATAATAAACCCTCAAAAAAACATAATAATTTGGTCATTTCAATCCACGACTGTTTGTGGGACACTGCTGTGCGCAATTGGCTGCCGCAGTTTGCCGACAAATATACAGTCAATTCACTTTACTTTGTAAACCATGCCATCGGCCAACCCCCTTCCCCTCCGCTCCCTTACCCCCCCATTTCAGCTCGGGTCTGAAATCTTGTTGTTGCTGTTGTTTACAGTCTATTCTGTGAAGCGCTTGGAGATGTCTAGAAGATGTGAAAAGCGCTATATCAAATACAAGGATTATTATTATTATTAATCGCACAACTCGTAACGCCTCTGCCACACTTGTTAATCCAGAATTTACCGGCTGCCAGGTCAAAACTTTGTTTCTCACATCTACCGCCCATGGAACACCACACATACGCGCCCCCTCCCCACTGCGTCCCGCGTCCCGGCTCTGGGCGCAGAATATCAATGTACAGCAGACGAGGTTTTCAGCAGTCATGGCCTCAAGCAATGCCATCGTATATCGTTTTATGATTAAAAATCCCAACAAAGCAATCAAGGACTATTACATAATAATATAATAATAATCGTGACATTTGATACTGTCTTATGTAAACTATATGATATATTTATTAAAAAAATTTCACCGAAGGAAAACTCTTACCTCAGGGTAGTTAATGGTAGGTTTGTAATTCTCCACTGAGACACACAAATACACACAGAGGAAATGATAATAATAATAATAATAATCCTTGCATTTGATATAGCGCTTTTCGCCTCGGGAGGACGTCCCAAAGCGCTTTACAGAACACACTGTAAATTTAAAGTGGGTTGACTGTATATGTGTGGGCGAACGCGGCGGCCGATTGCGCACAGCAATGTCCCACAAACAGTCGCAGATTGAAAATGACCAATTTATTATTGTTTTTGGTTTTGGAGGGATTATTATGGGCGCCACATGTACACCAAGGCGAGCACCGAGCACAGGCGTGTAACATTGTTTAGTCACAACTCGATAAGAGATTTCTGTTTAAACTTCTTGTTTGAGTAAACTTTGGAACTCGCTGTCATCTTATGCTTCAAATGAAAATATTAGTATATATTTTTGCTCCATAGTATCAAAAACATTTGCTTTGAATCCTTGTATTTAACTTGGTATTTAAATTGGTTTTGCTTTGCATATTGTCCCCGTAGGTGACGCTGTGGAAACTCACCCTGTTATTTAGACTGCGATTTGTATTTATATTCAGATCAGTTTACTTGCACATTGGTCTTTTGGAAACTGTCATGAGCTCTCTGTTTGCCTAATGCAGCTGCCAATCACTATGTTGTCCCCTTTAACTGGTATCAGATCAGATATTCTTCACCTGAAGTTGTGAAGATGTTCAGGCAAAATGAGAAACCCAGCAATTTCGTACCATTCAATATATTTAAAGACAATCGCAACTGCACGTTGACACCGCACTGCACATTGCCAATGCACAGAAAGTGACCACAGATGCGTAATCTTTGAATCTCACTAAATCTCTGAACCCGCGACTGTGGGGTTTGCAAACCAACCACCGGCGCAGCACTGTGGGGAATGGGTTCAATTTACAAACTAGATTTTCGAAAAATACTGCGGGGAAGTCATTTGCCCCAAATCTCACACATTTACACGATAGCAGAACAATTTAATTCCCATTTGGCACCAGGAAATCTGGTTATACTTTCCCAGCAGCGGCCTGAAGATTATTTATGTCCGAATCAGTAGGAACCTCGGGAGCACAGGGGGAGCTGCGGGTGGCAATGAGCACAGCTCAGTCACACTCAATATGTGAGGCGCAGTGCGAGGAGCCCCGACCCTGAGAGGGTACCTGGTGGGCAAACAGCGCGGGGGGTGGGGGCACTGACAGGGAATACAGCAGTGCAGGGAATCGTTCAGTAACACGATGTGTATGTGCCCCGAGTGCCGCTGTGGCAATTTAACCCAAACACTCCCAATAGATCGAGAGGAAAATAGTCTCAAAGAAATAAACGAGAGGGGTTTGTGGGAGAGGGTTGAGAATGAGACTTCAGAAGCTTTTGGTTTCCTGAGTCCAGTTACCAACTCAGCACTCAAACACAGTCCCAGTTTCTGAGCTAACACACAACACGGGACATATGTGACATTTATAATGTCAGAGTTTACTATCAACATCATCCTCACATGAACTCCACAACTAACAGAGCAGTATAGCGAGTGGGTCCATCCACACAGCAGCACACCAGGCGCTCCTCAGCCACACAGTTGGGAAGTGTGAGCTCCTATTGCCCATCGCTGCTGAGTTGGCTGTTTCTGGTCGGGATTTGGGGGGAGAAGAAAATGAGCCTCAGTTCCCGCTCTGGTCAGGTTTGAAATGTTTGAAATGTGCTTTCCACTTGGGAGAAAGTCTCCGAGGCGTCAGAGTGTGTTTGCTGTTTGTGGAGTGAGGGCGCGCTGTGGGCGAGGTGAAGGCAGATCAATGTGGCAGCACATGGCTCCTGGTCACACACCAGCCATTGGCCTTGGGCCGGCGGCCAAGGCTTGGGAACCCTCCCGTCAATGGGGAACACGTTGTCTTCGCTCTAATTCATGTGAGTCTTTCCAACAATGTCAATGTGCAGCACACGAGGCGCCGTTACACACTGTCACAGCACAGCTTGAGATACCCATAGCCCACTCCACACTGTAGCTGTGTTTGTGGCTGTAGCGGACGGTACCAGCGCTCAGTGTGGTGTGAGCTCTTACAGTAAGTGCTCCCATCAGTTCAGAAGAGTTAGATTAGCGACTGACCACAGACATTGTGGTTGGATTTTCGAAGATTGAATAGGCACAACGAAAGTGCAAATTGACACCAACAGTTAGTCCAAAGATTCGGCAGGATTTCTCCCTATTTCAGGAAGCCTCATCTCTGCCTCTGTCTCTGAGCTGTCCATTCCCCAATTTTTATCCTGGGCACATCCAACAGGCCTGATCTGTCCCCACTGCAGCTCCCTGTCCTGTCCAGCCGGGCAGGTCCTTCCCACATCTCACTTCTCCGTATCTGCTGAAAGATAACCTCAGCAAATCATATCTTCTCACACGGACATGTAATAAGACCACCATCGGTTATGGAATCATAGAATTATACAGCACAGAAGGATGCCATCCTCTTCTGATCATCCTCTCTGTGTAAAGGTCTATCCCATGTGCTGTTATACACAACTCTGCAGCTAGTATCCTCTCCCACACTGAGCTCCGTGACCCCATCATTCCCCATTCTCGCCCGGCTCCACTGGCTCCCCGTTCCCCAGAGGGTAGCGTTTAAGATTCTCATCCTCACCTCTAAAGCCTTCCACGGTCTTTCTCCTTCCAACCTCTGTGACCTACTAAACATTACTGACCTGTCTGCTCCCTCCGCTCGGTGGTCTCTGACCGGACCACCCCATCATCAGTGGTCAGGCCTTGAGACATTCTGCCCCTGCACTTTAACCCACCCACCCTCTCCCTCCCTCCCTTACCTCCTTCAAAGTCCGTCTCAAGAGCTTCCTCTTCGACAGCACCTTCAGTCATCTTTCCACCCCCTTGCCCTCCACCGCACTTGACTTCAACCCCCAGCTTGGACTGTCCAACGCTGTGGGACATCCTCGCAATGTGAAAGGCGCTGTATAACCGCAATGTGTTGTTGCGCTCTCATATGAAAGTAAGTTGTTGTTGTTGAAACTCAAGTGTCGGCACGTGATGCTGAACGTCATTGTCCGTTTCCAATTGCTCTGGTGCTAACTCCAATCCCTAATCTGCCCCCAGGTCCCTGACACAGCTCCCCATGGCTGCCACATGTGTCCCTCACTGCCTGTTGCTGCTGGGGGCTATTCACACAGGTAATCTGCTCATTCCTCACTCACACCATTGCTGCTCATTTCTCCCCAGCCCTGTAGTCGGTGTTGAATGTCGCTCTCTGTTTCCCGCACGTGTTTGGTTGAGCTTATAGCAGTTGTTTGGTCTTTGGTCGCTTGTGTTGCACACACATGGTTTTCTGTTTTGGCAACGGCTGGCGGGACCTCACTGACTGTGGGTCAAAACCCTCGGGTCGCCACAGTGAGCAGAGGCGGAGAAGTTACCATTTACTGCTTTTGGCCACTCTATAAAGATCAGAAACCAGCAAAGGTGGACTGGTGGCGAGAAGGAGAAAATCGTTCCCTGGAGGACGGCAGAGATGGAAGGATCCAGATTTATTTCCTAAACAGAGCAAGTTGTGCATTGCAGCTGTTCTCAGCCAGACTGCAGGACGCGGGAGTGTACCGCTGCCGAGTGAGACACAGAAGCGGAGCGCAGGGCCCTGGCACACGGCTGCTGGTGTTCGGTGAGTAGCCGCAGTGACAGTCGAGGCGGCGGGTTAGGTTTTTTTCGGGTTTTAATAAAGTTATAATAAAATATATTTTGTATTTTGCAACTTTCACCCAAACAATGTTCTTATATTTGGTTACAATTGTCCGTTATACATTTTGCTACATACAAACAATTATTATTGCGAAGTAAAATGGGACCAAATTCCCGTTTAAACACTATGGAAATGTTACAGAAATAAGTATGTTTCAATGGACACCAATCACACAGCTCATGCAATCCTCTAACATGAACTTTAAATGACTGAGAGCCTATCGCTGTGTGACCAGAGAGCCAGCTTCGGGTGGTGAGCCAGCTTTGTATGAGTCTCATCGTAAAAGAAAGAACTAATATAGTTTATATTGCTGGTTAATGTGAATAACTGTTCTGTCTGTCTTACACATCTTCTTTGTAAGGGGTTGGTTCCAAAATAATGAGAGCCCTGTTGTCGATTCATATTTAGATATGCTTAACATGTAAATACTTTATTGACTGTGACATATCATGAAGCAATAACCATAAGCTTTTCTGAAGGCTTGTTCTCACCCTCAATTGTTTTATCAATTCAGTACGTGACCAACGTGGTTCACATTCAAACAGTAAGAGATGAAGACAACGAGCATAGTTGTGGGTTTAGATAATTACTGGCCGGCAATACTCCAAATAAAATTGCTCTTTCGTGGCTGTTTGTGGAACATTGCTGGGGCGATTAGTTGCCACTTTCACCTACAAAACACAGTCACTGCACTTTAAAGTGAATCGTGTGAAGCACTTTGAGGCGTTCTCCCAATGCCAAAGATGCTTTATCAGATACAAGGATTACTATTTATTATAAATTATTTAGTTATAGATTCTCTATTATTGGAATGCAGTAAATAGAGGATATACTGTAGAATGCAGTGTTGCTCATACATTGACCAAACGAATGACCTATTTGGGGGGATTGTTGGCCAGGACACCAGAGAGAGAAACTCTCGTCTCATTTTGATGGGATCTTTAACATCCACCCGAAAGTCCGATAGGACCTTGGTTTAATGTCTCATCTGAAGGACAGTCCTCCGACCGTGTAGCACTCCCCCAGCGCTTCATTTGAGTGTCAGTTTAGACGATGTGAGTTCAAGACGTGGGGCTTGAACCCACAACCTTCAGAGGCGAGAGCGCTACCACTGGGCTAGGCTGACATGACGGACTTGGGTCCTGGACGGATGCCTTGGAATCCTCACATTCCTCCAAAGTAAATCGAAGGAGTCGATTAGTATTAATGAATGTCTGAGAAAATAAAAATGTAATTTAGCCAGAAGTTAATGTTCATTGGTGTCGAGCTTTCATTAAAATTTCCAGTATTTGGTTGTTTTAATCTTAGAGGGAAGGGAAGTGTGTCAGCCTGTATCAGCAAACTGGTAGCACTGCTGTATAATATTAATCCTTGCACTTGTTGTAGCACGTTTCATGACGGGAAGAAATCCCAAAGTGCTTCTCAGGGTATAATGATAACAATATTGCATTTGATATAGCTCCTGATCACGTCGTTGAGACGTCTCAACGCACTTCATTGTAAAGTGGGGTAACTTTGTGTTTTTTAGGCAAACGTGGCAGTCAGTTTGCACACAGCAATGTCTCACAAACAGTACGAAGTGGGGGGCAATTTTTATGAAGTGATTGTTGTCCAGGACACCGGGAGAGATAAAACACCCTCTCCTTTTCGAGTTGTGCCGCGGGATCGATCAGAGCATTAATGAGCGTCTGTAACAAACAGTCAGTGTCCAGGTTCCGCTCTGATCTTTCCTTTGGCGGTGATGAAGGAACACATGTCAATGTTGCACGTGGCTTGTTCTCCCCCCAATGTACTACTGTTCCCCGGGTTTGAATGTTGCATCTTGTAAATTCTGCACAAAGTGATGTTGAGAATTGCTGATGAATATCTAACATTTTGAACATTTTTAATCGTATAAAATTGGACGGTAAATTGGCGACAGTTTAAAACAATGAAATCCAAGGTTCTTTATGTGGGCCATTCAATAAAAAACAAATAGGTAATTCTAAAATAATGTAAATCATTTATTAGGCCACAGGTATGTGTCCAGTTAGGAACTATGTCAGGGTATAGAGAAGTATAGGACAGACCAGGGAAGTAATGTTCAACTGGAACAGGAAGCTGAGAGAAGCTGTTCAGAACTCTTAAGGTGTTTGAGAAGTTAAATAGGGAGAAACTATTTCCACTGGTTATTTCTATTAATTCTTCCAAATGAACGCTGCCTCCCCCCACCCCTGCCCTCGGAAATCCATCCTGGAGTCCTCTGTTCTCCCTCGGTGCACTGCATTTTGCCCAGCCGGGTGTCTGACACATGCAGAAACCCATAACTAAGCTTAAAAGTGTCCAAACCAAACGGAGAATTCCGTGCATCCCACCTACATATGGAGATTTACACGTATTGGTGTCGAAAGCTCTCTCTCTCTTTGTGGGATGTAACCTGTTTACCAACTTGCAGTAGTATTTTGTCAGGTGTGGGCTGATTAAAGCCAATGTCGGAATCTTGATTGTGAGTTGCGATGCTGCTGGAGTCTAACCAGCTAAACCCACACAGCTCGCCATTGATATCACTGTCTGACAAGCTTTCCTGCTGCTTATCCAGCTAGAACCACCCTACCTACCCGTTAGGGCTTTGGCTGCAGCATTAACGGGCTGAGTGGGATAACTTCCTGCCCCCAGTGACTATTTGGCCCTTCCAAGCCGTGCCAATGAGCCAGGCCGGGCTGTGCTGTCATCACCAATGCCCTGGAATACTGCAGACCCGCCTGGCTCAGGAACAGGACTACAGCCCTCCACGGAGGTTTGGCTTGAATTTGACATTTCGCTGCCAAACATGTCACCTTGGAGCCAGTTCAGCCCCAGGAAGACCCCGCTTACCCCTGCTTCAGAACAGCCTATATCAATAGATATATTGTTGGATTTGTAAAATACAGTGTTTACTTTCCAGGGTGAACAGAGTATTTCCCTTTATCCGTTATTTAGGGCGGCAACAAATATACCAAGTACAAGAGGGTGAAGTTGCACAATAATAGTTGCAGATATTTACAGGGATTTACTGAGTGGATCTGAGCCCTGGGATGGGGAGGGGGGAGAACATGGGGCCTGATACTGATAAGCAATGCTGATATTTCAAGATGAAACATATAACATAATTTTAGGAGTTTTTCATTTAAAACGCACACATTGTGCAAACGTTTAAAGTATATTCAGGATTGAGGGTAACAATATCACCTGGTTTGCAGCAGTAACTAGTTCGATGTGATTATTAAATCACAGGAGGCTGGGTTTACTCTGCTTTTACAGAGTCAATCTTATCTAACTTTCAGGACTCGCATTATAAACTTGGGTTATATTTATATATTGCCACCTGTGTAAATGCAACATGTGTTTCTGTTTCTATCCCAAGTGCCCCCGACCCCCCTGGAGATGGTGGTCTCACGGTCCGGGAGCGGAGCTGCGGCTTCTCTGACCCTCGTGTGTAAAACGGCGGCCTTTTACCCGGAGGATGTGAATATCACTTGGTGTAAAAATGGATCAGAAATTGTAAGTGGAACAAATACAAACAGGAACCTCGCGGGGCTGTATGAAGCTTCCAGTTTATTGATCGAGACAGAGGCGGTGCAGAGCGGAGCTGTTTATACCTGTCACGTATCTCACCTGTCCCTCCCCACTGCCGCCAACATCAGCTACACTGTCCCTGGCACTGAGACAGGTAAGATAACTGCGGACACAGCTTTGAGGACGGATGATATATTAAACAAATATGGCCTGGTAGCTATTGTAACTTTGGTTTCATTTACACCAAACATAAGCTAAAAATAAGTTAGCTTATTATTAATAAGTTAGCAAACATAAGTTAAAAATAAGAATTTAACAATTATGTTAAATTCGATGGAATAGAAAATGATGAAGATTATAAAGATGAGATTAAACATGTGTAATAATAATATAACACATAGTGCAATGTTATAATTCTTCAAAGTATGCTTTATCCCATTAGAATTAGTCATTTGGAACATTGTTTGAAAATGTATTCTTGTTCATTTTTTTAAAAATCTTGAAAGAGCTGTAAATGTACCATAATGTATCAAATGCCAAGATTATTGTTATCAATTGTTAGTAGAATTACAGCTGATGATCATGTCGGATCCTTGGCTGAAAAGGAACCTTTATCCTCGGAGCTTAGTTTGGGGATTTTCAAAGTGTATACTCTACTAGTCAATGTTTCATTTCCATTTACATTGGAGGGACTTCCCTCTTATATTCACTTGTGACAATCTTTAAATTCTGTCTGATATTGTCATGTTACCGAGAAGCTGATACACAACACACAACCAATACACACAAACACACATTCAAACACAACACACAGAGCACTTATATACACAACAGAACCAACACATAGTACACAAATGGATACCTTCTAACCCATATATCCAATACAAATACAATACAAAGTAGACACATACACACAACCAACACACACAACACGCGAACAAATATACGCACCCATATACAGAATACACACACATATACATAGTCATTATATTATTTGATGCCTGACTACATCTTATTCTCTGAATTTTAAACTTAAGTCACAGTCACTGTGTCATATTGTGTGTAAATGGACAGTGAACCTTTATTTGTGATAATTTTGCAGATCACTTAGTGCTCATCTGTTCGGTTGTGGGACTGATCAATTCACTGGGGATAATTATCATCATGTTATGTGTTAAAGTAAAACAATCAAAAGGTGAAATTTACCCGTATTTGTAATAGAACCTTCATTTAAAAAGTTTATATTCTGGTACTGGTTTTTAAGTCTAAAATGTTCACAATATTGAGGTTCCTCATTTCCATCATTTTGAAGCTAGTTTGCTTAACAATTTGATTACATGATTGTTGGCAGACCTGATCCAGTTTCAGTATTCATAAATTACCTAACATTCTTTAAGTAACCAACTGAGAATAACTGAATAATATACAATTTGTGGTTTGTTAGTGTAAATCTACACCTTTGAATAACTCATATCTTATTTATATGTAAATAAATGGGGATGAAATGACTGACCAAATTGATTGAGGGAAGTCACATAACGTAGCAAGTGGGGGCTTCCAAAAGTATCTTAACAGATTCCTTCACAATCTGATGCCACATGGTATCAACAACAACAACAACAAGATTGCATTTATAGAGTGCCTTTCACGTCGGGAGGACGTCCCAAGGCGCTTGACAGTTGGGTCGGGACCCAGGGGATGCAACAGGACAGTGGAACAAGATAACACAGGTTTAGTGTTGCAAAAGGCAATTATGTGACCAACAGCAAGAAGTTCTCCTTTTAGCCAGAGGGGAATTAACGACTGGAATTAATAGTTTTTCCAAGAAGGGTGTTGAGGTCAGGACGCTGGACTCATATAAAAAACCTTGATGCTATGGTGGGTGTAAGCTATAATGAATGTGTTTCAAAATAACATTTCAGATTTCTATTCAATTACAAGTGAGATACTTGGGATTTGGAATGTCATTACACTGTAATTGTTGACCTGGTCAAAGAGAGAATAGTTCCCAGGAACATTCTGACTATTTATTGCTGTGCTTCTCTGCAGCTACCGAAGGGAATATTCAGGGCGAACAGCAGGTATACGCTTTATCGTACTGCACAATTTAACAGACACATTATTTGATTGTAAAATGAGAACAGTTTGATATGTATAAATCTATTTAACTCCATTGTTGAAGTTGGATTATGATGGGATGGAATATATGGTAATTGGCTTAGTTAGTAAACCCTGTAAACATGGGATTAACTTTCACATAATAATATTTGCATTTGAGATAACACCTGTCACATCAGGAGGGCATCACAAAGTGCTTCACAGAATTTACTGTAAAGTGTGGCAACTGTGTATTTTGCAGGCGAATGTGGTAGTCAATTTGAATACAGCAATGTCCCAAAGATAGCCATGACATGAATAACCAATCCTATTTGGGAATTGTTAGACAGGACACCAGTTTTCAAAAATTGCCATGGGATCTTTAATATCTGCCTGAACAGGTGCAAAAGATGAAAGTTTCATCCAAGGAACATCAACTCCACAATGCAGTGCTACCTTAGCTCTGGTTGGAGCATCAGCCTTTATCTCAAGTGGTTCCATTCTGTTATCACATTTCCATGTTTTTTAAAAATTGGGTCCTTTTTTTAATTCTACATCTTGAGGGAAGGCAGAGAGGTGGGAGGGAGACCAAGGACATGGTCAAAGAGAAGGGTCTTGAGACCGGCCTTGAAGGAGGTGAGGGAGGAAGCGAGGTGAAGAGACGGTGGGATGGAGTTCCAGAGTATGGGGGCAGAGAGGCTGAAAGCCCGGCCACCGATGGTAGGTGGGGGTCGGGCGGGAGACATGGAGCAGGTCAGAGCCCGATGAATGGAGGGAGTGGGCAGTTGGTAGGGAGTCAACAGGTCAGAGAGGTAGGAGGGGGCAAGGCTATGGATGGCCTCAGGAGCTGGCAGTATTAGCCTCCACAACTGCATATTCAACCTCACCAAGGCAGTCAGGAACCCGGGTGTCTTGTTCGACCCCGAACTGTCCTTTCTCCCCCACATCCGCGCCATGACCGGCACTGCCTACCACCATCTCCGCAATATTGCCAGAGTCCACCACTGCCTCACCCCTCAGGCTGCGAGAGACCTGGATTCGAATCCCGGCAGGGAGAAACACAGGGCAAGTTTCCTTACTCCACGCACCTATGTTTACCAAGCAGTAAGTAGGAACCAGGTTGTTAGTCGATTGCTGGACGCTATTCCGGGGATAATAATTCCTTAAGAGAGTGGGAAGTGGGGTTGATCAGGGCTATGGGGAGAGAGTGGGGGAGTGGGGTTGATCAGGGCTATGGGGAGAGCGCGGGGGAGTGGGGTTGATCAACAACAACAACAACAACAAGATTCCATTTATAAAGCGCCTTTCACGTCAGGAGGACGTCCCAAGGCGCTGCACAGTTGGGTCATGAGCAGGGGGAAATGGTTAGGGTGAGGGGAGGGAAGGGAGGGAGCGAGGAGGGGGGAAATGGTCAGGGTGAGGGGAGGGAAGAGAGAGAGCAAGGAGGGGGGGAAAGGTCAGGGTGAGGGGAGGGAAGGGAGGGAGCGAGGAGGGGGTAGAGAGTCGAGAGGGGAGCTGAAGGCTCGGTCAAAGAGAAAGGTTTTGAGACCGGCCTTGAAGGAGGAAAGGGAGGAAGCGGCGAAGGCACTGGGGGATAGAGTTCCAGAGCCTCGGGGCTGAGAGGCTGAAGGCCCGACCACCGATGGTAGGGCGGTTGGGGCGGGGGACGTGGAGCAGACCGGAGCCAGAGGAACGGGCAGGTAGATAGGGGGATAGTAGGTTGGAGAGGTAGGAGGGAGCGAGGCCGTGAATGGTCTTTTAGGTGAGGATGAGGATCTTGAAATCAATCCTCTGGGGGATGGGGAGCCAGTGGAGGCGAGCGAGGGCGAGGGTGGGAGTGATGTGGGCGCGAGGCCTGGTGCGGGACAGTACACGAGCTGCAGAGTTCTGAATGACTTGCAGTGTGGAGGGAGGTGCCGGGAAGGCCGACGAGGAGAGAGTTCCCGTAGTCCAGCCTTGAGGTGACAAAGGCGTGAACCAGGGTTTCAGCAGCGTGAGGGGTGAGGTAATGGCGTAGTCTGGCGATGTTCCGGAGGTGATGGAAGGCGGTGCCAGTTGTGGTGCGGATGTGAGGGAGAAAGGACAGCTCAGGGTCGAACAGAACCCCGAGGTTCCTGACTGGCTTTGAGAGGTGGAGAGTGCAGCCTTGGAGCTGATGGTGTCGGCGCCTGAGGTGCAGAGGCGCTGACGTGAGCCAATCAGGAGGGCCTCGGTTTTTCGCACGTTGAGCTGAAGAAAGTTGTCTCTTGTCCAGGACTCGATGTCGGACAGACAGCTGTCAGGACATCGGTGGTCGTGGAGTTGAGACACATGAGACAGTGCGGGGGGTGGAGGAGAAGCCATTCGTTGAGACAAAGTGAAGACGGTGAGAAAGGTATGACCTAAACCATTCAAGGACAGTGCCTTGAAGGTTGAGGTGGGAGGACAAGCGGTGGAGTAGGATAGCGTGGTCGACCGTATCGAATGCTGCCGATAGGTCGAGGAGGACGAGGAGGCAGAGGGAGCCCTGGTCACAGATGGTCAGGATATCATTGGTGACCTTGACCAGGGCAGTTTCTGTGCTATGGGCAGCACGGAAACCTGACTGAAGGGGTTCGAAAAGTGAATGGGTGGAAAGGAAAGAGCGCAGTTGGGAGGCGACAACTCTTTCCAGGACCTTGGAGAGAAAGGGGAGGTTGGAGATGGGCCGGTAGCTTGATAGCTGCGACGCATCAAGGGAGGGTTTTTTCAGGGTGGGCGTGATGGTGGCAGTTTTTAAGGGAATGGGGACAGAGCCAGAGGAGAGGGACAGGTTGATGATGTCGGTGATATGTGGGGCAAGAAAGTGGAGCTGGGAGATAAGGAGTGGAGTGGGGATGGGGTCAAGGGAGCAGGTGGTTGGTTTTAGGGATAGGATGAGTTTGGTGACAGAGGGTGGGGAAACGGGTACGAAGGTGTGTAGGGGAGGATGGGTAGGAGTCGGAGTGTGGGAGTGAGGGGGTGGGGGGTTGGTGGAAGTTGGAGGGGAAGTGACCGCGGAGCGGATTCCCTTGATCTTGGATTCAAGGAAATCCAGCATCTCCTCGCAGTGAAGGTTGGAGGAGATGACCTGCGCGGGGTGGCGGGGGGGACGGAGGAGTCGGGTTGTGGTGGAAAACAGTAGCCTGGGGTTGTTCTTCGCCTCCAGGATTATCCTGGAGTAGAAGGACGACTTGGCCGAGGCTAGAGTGGAGCGGTAAATTTTGAGGAGGTCCAGCCAGATTTGTCGGTGGACCGTTAGGCCAGATTTGACACAGGTGCGTTCAGCAGCCCGCACCTGGCTTTTCAGTGAGCGGAGGTGGGTGGTGTACCAGGGGGAGGAGCGGGAGTAGGAGACAGTGCGGGAAGTGATGGGGGCAAGAGTATCGAGTGTGGAGGAGAGGGTATTGTGGAGGAGGGAGAGAGGAGAAGAGGGGTCGGTGAGGGTTGAAGGCCAGAGGGAGAGGAGTTCAGAGGACTCCAAGGCATCGGTTAGGGATTGTGGGGGTAACTTCTTCCAAGGGCGGTAGAAGATGGTGGTGGGTCTGGTGGAGGTGGGGAGGGGGGTGGAGGTGGTGAAGGAGATGAAGTAGTGGTCAGAGATGGCCTTGTCGGTAATAGTGACATCCGAGACACTGAGGCCCCGGGTGATCACCAAATCGAGTGGGTGGCCGTGACTGTGAGTGGGGGAGTTTATGTGTAGGGAGAGGTTGAGTGAGGAGAGCAGGGAAGAGAAGTCTGTGGAGATGGAGCAGGAGGGTGTGAAGTGTAGGTTAAAGTCGCCCAGGATGATGAGGCGATCGGAGCAGAGGCAAAGAGATGTGAGGAGTGTTGAAATGTCAGAGATGAAGGTGGGAGAGGTTTTAGGGGGCCGGTAGAGGAGGAGGATTTTAAGGGAGAGGAATGAGGGGTGGGAGAGGGTGAGGTGCTCAAAGGAGGGGAAAGAGCCAGAGGAGTAGGGGGATAGGGCAAGTGGTGTCCTTGAGATAAGGGCAACACCACCGCCACGGCGGTTGGGGCGGGGGATGTGGTGGGAGGTGTAGCCGGGTGGTGTGGCCTCCGTGAGGGGGAAGGTGTCGCCTGGGGTGAGCCAGGTTTCTGTTAAGGCCATGATATCAACGTTCTCATCAAGGATGAGATCGTTGATGACCAGGGCCTTGTTGCAGAGGGAGCGGACATTTTGCAGTCCGATGTGGAGGGAGCGGTTGACAGAAGGGTGTGTGGGAGGGGAGGGGGGTCCAGGTTGTGAGGCAGGGATGAGGGAGGAGAGGTTGACTCCCCGGGTCTGTGTCCGGGGTGGGTGGCGAGTGTGGTGGGGAATGGGGCAGTCGGTGTGGCTGCTGCTGGACAGCCAATGCCGAGTGCCGCGGTGAGCCCGGCGGAGGATTCCCAGACTGGAGCAGAGGGAGGTTGTGGGAGGGTCAAGTGGGGATAGAAGACGAGAGGGACGGAGAGAGAGGAGGAGAGAGCGGGAGAGATGCAGAGGGGGGAGGGTTTGGGGGAGAGAGGAGGGGGGCGGGAGGGAGGGGGTGAGGGGGCTCGGGTCAAAGCGGCAGCCATAGTGCGCACGCGGGGACCGGGAGCGAGCGGTCAGGTGGATGGCATTATCCCGTAGATTGGGGCAGCGAACCCAACAGGACCATAGTGGGCTCTGATTTTTTGTTGCGCGCACACGTACCTGAAAACTAATCTATGACGTCAGCGGTTCCCCCGCTCCGCCCCCCGGGGCTGAACTCGCTCCGGCGTCGAGTTTAAGTACCTGGGTCAGTAGGCCCAGGCTCCTCCCCGCGCTGTCCTGCCGCCGCTCCCCGACTCTGGGGAGCTGGGGAGTGGGGTTGTGGGGAGAGAGTGGGTGAGTGGGGTTGTGGGGAGAGAGTGGGGGAGTGGGGTTGTGGGAGAGAGTGGGGGAGTGGGGTTGTGGGGAGAGAGTGGGGGAGTGGGGTTGTGGGGAGAGAGTGGGGGAGTGGGGTTGTGGGGAGAGAGTGGGGGAGTGGGGTTGTGGGGAGAGAGTGGGGGAGTGGGGTTGTGGGGAGAGAGTGGGGAGTGGGGTTGTGGGGAGAGAGTGGGGGAGTGGGGTTGTGGGGAGAGAGTGGGGGAGTGGGGTTGATCAGGGCTATGGGGAGAGCGCAGTGAGTGAGATTGATTTGGAAGCTCTTTTCAGGGAGCGGCACAGACAGATGGGCCAAATGGCCTCGTTCTGTGCTGTATAATTCTGATTCCATGATTAAATGTCCTGCTCTGTATATCCCAGAGGAAGAGTTTTTCTTGAGCTGCCAAGTGAACCTGGAATTTAATGTTCCTGAGTAGATAAACCTTGAAACAGCATTCCTAACAACAACAACAACTTGGATTTATACAGCTCCCCCCACGCCGGATTGTGTCTCAGAGCTTCACAGTAACGGATCCCGGGGCCGAGCCAGGGGTAGGGGGAGGAGCCAGGGGTAGGGGGAGGAGCCAGGGGCAGGGGGAGGAGCCAGGGGCAGGGGGAGGAGCCGGGGGAGGGGAGGAGCCGGGGGAGGAGCCGTGGGGGGAGGAGCCGGAGGGGGAGGAGCCGGGGGGAGGAGCCGGGAGGAGGAGCCCGGGGGGAGGAGCCCGGGGGGAGGAGCCGGGGGGAGGAGCCGGGGGAGGAGCCGGGGGGGTGGGGGAGGAGCCGGGGGGGTGGGGGGAGGAGCCGGGGGGGAGGAGCCGGGGGGGCGTAGTGGGGGGGAGCGGGGGGGGGAGGAGCCGGGGGGGGGGGGTGGGGGGAGGAGCCGGGGGGGGAGGAGCCGGGGGGGTGGGGGGAGGAGCCGGGGGGGAGGAGCCGGGGGGGGAGGAGCCGGGGGGGGTGGGGGGAGGAGCCGGGGGGGGTGGGGGGAGGAGCCGGGGGGGAGGAGCCGGGGGGGGGGTAGTGGGGGGGAGGAGCGGGGGGGGGAGGAGCCGGGGGGTAGTGGGGGGGAGGAGCCGGGGGGGAGGAGCCGGGGGGGGTTAGTGGGGGGGAGGAGCCAGGGGTAGGGGGAGGAGCCAGGGGCAGGGGGAGGAGCCAGGGGCAGGGGGAGGAGCCGGGGGAGGAGCCGTGGGGGGGAGGAGCCGGAGGGGGAGGAGCCGGGGGGAGGAGCCGGGGGGAGGAGCCCGGGGGGAGGAGCCGGGGGGAGGAGCCGGGGGGGGGTGGGGGGAGGAGCCGGGGGGTGGGGGGAGGAGCCGGGGGGGGAGGAGCCGGGGGGCGTAGTGGGGGGGGGAGCGGGGGGGGGAGGAGCCGGGGGGGGGGGTGGGGGGGAGGAGCCGGGGGGAGGAGCCGGGGGGGTGGGGGGGAGGAGCCGGCGGGGGAGGAGCCGGGGGGAGGAGCCAGGGGGAGGAGCCGGGGGGGGGTGGGGGGAGGAGCCGGGGGGGGTGGGGGGAGGAGCCGGGGGGGAGGAGCCGGGGGGTAGTGGGGGGAGGAGCCGGGGGGGGAGGAGCCGGGGGGGGGTTAGTGGGGGGGAGGAGCGGGGGGGGGGGAGGAGCCGGGGGGGAGGAGCCGGGGGGGGTGGGGGGGAGGAGCCGGGGGGTGGGGGGAGGAGCCGGGGGGGTGGGGGGGAGGAGCCAGGGGGGTGGGGGGAGGAGCCAGGGGGGTGGGGGGGAGGAGCCAGGGGGGTGGGGGGGAGGAGCCAGGGGGGGTGGGGGGGAGGAGCCAGGGGGGTGGGGGGAGGAGCCAGGGGGGGTGGGGGGGAGGAGCCAGGGGGGGGTGGGGGGAAGGAAGGTGACCAAAGGTGCGGTCGAAGAGAAAGGTCTTTAGCTGAGACCTGAAAGTGGGAAGAGAGGGGGTGAGGTGAAAGGAGTGAGGAAGGGAGTTCCAGAGCCTCGGGGCATAGTGGCTGAAGGCACAGCCACTGAGGGTGGAGCGGAGGACTCGGGGGACGAGGAGGAGGCCAGACCCGGAGGAACGAACAATGAGGGCTGGAGGATTCCTTCTCCTTTACCAAGTCTGTCTTTCAGCCTTTGTTATCACTGCTTGTCCCAATGTAGATTGACGTGATTTTCAAACCCAAGAGTTGATTTTGGGTCGGGTACATCGGGAGGGATCAGGAGGTGTTTGGTGTGAGGGTATTTGTATGTGAGGGTGAGTTGGTGAGATTGACCCTTTCGGAAGCAGAGAGCCAGTGGAGCCTGGTCAGGATTGGGATGATGGGAGTGCCAAGTTTGCTGGGGGTGAGAATGCGGGTGGCAGAGTTTGGGGTGAACTGGACTGTGTAATTTGTGGAACTGGGGAGACCGGGGAAAGTTTTGAGATATCAAAGTGGGATTCCAATAGCAACAATGAATGTCGTTGTTGTACAGCGGGGAAAGAACAGACGTGTGTTTGTGTGAGGGGGAGTTAACTTATTTTTACCAATGTTAAATACTTCATATTAATCTTAAGCTTCAATACTCACTTTAATCCATTGGTTTTGCCGCTTTACAGATTATTGGGGGTAACTGTGACATTGTTTTCCAGGTGCAGACGGGAACAGATGAGAACAGGTTAAATTACGCTGTTCTGAATCTGCCTCATTCAAAAAAATAGTGGAAACCCAAAGGGATGGAAGAGACCACCGAATAGGGACAAACAGAGGCCAGATGCTGATGTGATGTAAACAGAGGCAGAAGTTCAGTGACGAACACTCAGTGTACAGATATGTTTGTAGTTTCTGTAACCTTGATAAAACAATGCATCTTATTATATTATACAACTAATGTTTTAGTTATTTTTTTCTTTTTTTTTCCAATTGGAACAAATTGTGGATTATAGTTGGGAAAGATTAACAATGCACATGTGTGGAAAGAATTGCAATATAATGTAATACCTTACTTGTTTATGCACATGTTGATCCATAGGTTTGAAATTGTTTCATGATTTACTTGGTAACTATATTAAGAACAGTTTAGATCACTCAGAGGACAGATCCTTTCAATCCCTTCACTTGGTGACCAATGAAAAAACTTTCATTTGAAAACAATACCTGTCACAGGTGGTGGAGGGGATGATCCGCTCCTGATCGGACATGAAGAGATAAATGGTGCAGTGCCTTACAGGTACAGAGAGGGTCACCGCGATTGTGAATGTCCTGAGTCCAGGACACGTGTATGTTGTGTAACTGTAGTTGGTTTCATTTCAGCAGCACATGGACGTGAACTTTAGGGTCTCTAATGTCTTGGTTTGTGCAGCTGCACATGTCCTGGTTAGACAGGGTGTGTGCACACTGGAGGGTGTGACTGTCACTGGGAATGGGCTTTGCTGGTGGAGGAGCTGAAGACTCTCAGGTCAGTGCTGAGCGGTTTCCACACTGTTGGATGCAGTGGTTGACCGAAGCTGCTCCTGAGTTCATTTACTCCATTTATTTTTTACCGTCAGTGAGGTTCAGCAAAGCTGTAATTCAGACATTCATGTAATTCATGTAATTCATGTGTCCTCCTGACGTGAAAGGCGCTACACAAACAATTTGTTGTTGTTGTTCAGATATTCAGTGTCCAGAGCCTCAGAGAACTGATTTGCCAAGAACACAAGGACAGCACATGTATTTTGTATTGAGGTTCGTCAACCTTCCAAAATTGAACATCGTGGATATTTTTGTTTGTATTGATTTAAATAAAATATTGTTGGATGTAGGACAGAATGTACAATAGTAAGGGGTAACAAAGTAAATTCATAAAGTACTGCTTGGTGGCTTTACTTTACTGTTTAACTGTACATGTCAATTAGCTGTCAATATTTTATCATAACAGGTTTACATTTGTACATGATATCTGTTTATCTGTTTCATGGGATGAGGCATTGTTAATATTTGGTAAATGTTTTTAGATTGTGTAGAGAAAAATGCAACAAAATGTAATAATGTAATCATTTACCCATGTTTATCCATACGTTTGGAATTGTTGAAATTGACTGACAGATTAGGCAGAATAGTCTGCTTCCGAGTCTTATTACCCTGTTAAAATTTTTAAAGGAAATTGGGGATTCTAATCGTATCCAGAATTTGACGGAACTGGATTTAAATATAATCTTTGCATCAGTGTTTCTTGGAATTAAAATGAATTATAAGACTTCCCTTCTCCACCGTGCCTGTTGTCAGCTCCCCTTTCCCCCAGCTCAACCCACACTATTGCTAAACGCTCCGAGATGTTGCCCCGCATGAAGGGCGCCATAGAAATGAAAGTTTTTCTTGTTGATATCACCGGGGCAAGAAGCGATTCGGAATGATTCTGACCGTATAATATACACTGAGACACCAGGAAGCCGGGGTGGGGTCAAACCCTGAGCCCGACCTGGGTTAGCAGCTTTCAGCAACTCGATCGCGAACAATAGAAGAACCTTTCCTCATGCTTTACCCTTCGGGTGTGAGATATCATAATCCCTGTACATCTTTCTGTATCGTACAGCCTCTAATTATAGACATTTCAAAAATGACAGAGGAGGGCAATTAATGTGTACATAAGATCACAAGAATGAAGAAGACCCTTCAGCCCATATGATCTCATTCATCCACCATCGAGAATCTGAGACTACAAATGCACGGTTTATTATTATATGCTGGATTCAAAAAAAGGATAATCACACAATCTACTTCCTTCTTAGCCTCACAGGGCTAGAAGATATTTGGTAAGTAACAGCCTTGACATTTGNAAAAAATATTGTGTTTATAAAAATCAGCGGATTTCGCCTCATGCCCTCACTTCCTTAATAGCGATTGGTTATACAGCGACACGACAGGTTATTGCACAGAAGCTCTAATTACTTGGTAAAAAAGGGAAATTCTAACAGTAACTTTAAATGCCTTTTGTCATTTGGTGTTGCTAAAAAGATATTGATTGTTATCAGCGCAGATTGATGACAGAATCAAAATGTATTCTCTATTTTAACTTTGATGTGAAATGATATCTCCACAAGTCCATAATCACAGAGTGTGATTTAACAATGAACAGCTCTTTGGAGTGATTATAGCAAAGATTGGTGTACAGTTCACACACAGCCGTGATGATCTTTCCCGGATACATGTCTAGATTCTGTTCCAATGTTCTCTTCTTTATCTCTTTGGTTCCTCGTCTTTACCTCAGCGTACTGTGTACATTTTTCATCTTTAAATTTGGCAGTTTTCTGGGAGTTGGTCAAATTCAGAGCCGTGTAAGTCAGTGTGATCTCAGCCGCTGCTCCCTGGGTCTGCGAAGGGGAGAAGAGGGAATGGTTAAAATGCTTGTCCACCGGATGTTAAATATCAAATGGCACTATTAAAAAAAGGGAGTTTCTCCAGGTGATCCATACCAATAAGAAACACTCATTGCATTTGGTTTAGCAGTTAATTATATAGGGAGGCCGTCTCAAAGCGCTTCACAGCATATTCGTGAAATGGAGTGACTGAATTTGTAGGCGAACACAACAGTCCACTTGCGCATAGCAGCGTCCTACAAATATTTGGGGGGATTGTTGGCCAGGACACCGAGAGAGAGAAACTCTCTTCTCATCTTTAACATTCACCCAAACAGGCAGACAGGACCTCGATTTAACAGCTCATCTGAAGGTCAGTATCTCTAATAATGCAACACACCCCAGCACTGCATTGGAGCATCAGTTTAACCTGTGTAAATCGAAGTCCCGATGCAAGATTTAAACACAAAACCTTCTGACTCAGAGTCAAGTCTTTATTCTTATCTTGACCGTGGTTCTCAAACATTCCATTCTTTATTATCCGGAACTGCTTGTTCCCTCAGTCGTCTTCCTTAATCTCCGGTGCCTAGCTCTCCTTTATCCCGTGATCTCTGCGGACCTTGAGATGTCCACAAATAGCTTTTAGGACTGATTAGTTTAGTGTGTTCTTCCTCTTTTACTGTTTCGATCATTGATGTGTTTATTCCTACTGGTGCCATCTGACTGCTCATCCCTGCTGACTCGGCCCGTCTCTGTGACCTTGTGACATTCCCTTGTTTTAACTCTTTCCGCACTTTCACTTCACTCATACCGTAATACAACATTTCCAAAGTTATACACTTTATACAGGAAATTTATACTCATGATTGGGCCATCTTAACACCCTGGGCAACAACAGCAGCAACAAAAATTAACCTCCTTTGTTCTAAGGAGCATAATCCATGACTTCCCACCAAAGCTAAATCTTTAAAACCAGTCTAATAAACAGACACTGAAACATCCACCAAGGCTAATTAATATATTATTCCCAAAATTTGGTGTCCAAAGTGAAAACACTTCAACTGAGGCCAATGCTCTAAATAACTGAATAATCACCTGTACTTCACGTCTGTTGTTAATAAAAGCTCCTGAAGCTGATTTCACTCAATGTCCACTTAAACCAAATTATAAGTAGTTGGGATCAGGACAGCAATAGTCTCCTTTGCCACTCCCTAACTGCCTGCAGAGTCAGCTATCGCAACAAAGACCAGGCAATATGCCTGAAATCCTGAACTCTGGAGAGCTTAGTTAGTAATATGGAGCCTATAGAGTGCTCACCTCACAAACGAGAGGACCCGCGTTTAATTCCCGGACAGGGCAAAACTTTAAATGCATTTGCTTACTTCACAAGCCTATGATTAACTAGCAGTAAGTAGGAACCTGGTTGTTAGTCCATTGGTGGATCACTTTTCCGGGGGTGATAATCCCTCCAAAAAATAATAATAATAATTTGGTCACTCAATCCACAACTGTTTGTGGGACGCTGCTGTGTGCAATTGGATGCCATGATTCGGCCACAAAATATTCAGTCAATTCACTTTACAGTATATCCTGTGAAGAGCTTTGAGACGTCTCGAAGATGTGATAAGGCGCTGTATCAAATGCAAGGATTGTTATATGTTCAGTTATTAAATATTATAAAGTAGAGTTAATTACATACAAATGAAAAACGTTACCTGAATAACAAATAGCCATTTATTGCAATGGCACGAGTTAAGTTTCAGAGAACTCTGTTTTACCTTACCTGTACCTTGCTGTATATTGTACTTTCCTTCTCACGTCTCACTTTTCTATTTTTGTGGGATCCAGTGAAATTTAGAGTTTCATAAGAGAGGCTCCCGTTAGCTGCTCCTTGTATGATCTGAAGGGCCATGGATTTGCACAAAAACGAAACAAATTGAAAACAGTTTTATAAAATGAGAAACATAGTGTCCAAGCATATAAAGTTCTGTTGATATTGTTAGGTTATTAATTTCTCCAAACAAAATAGCCTCTACAGTGTTGGCACTCTGGCATCTGAGTCATAAAGTTGAGGGTTCAAACTCCACATTGGGACTTGGAATCACAGTAGTCTGTCACTCCAGTGCAGTGATGGGGCATGTTGCATTATTGGAGGTATCATCCTTCAGATGAGACATTAAACCCAGACATTAAACTGTCTGTTTAGGTAGATATTAAAGATCCCATGGCACTATTTGAAAAGATGTCCAATATCCTGGCCAACAATCTCCCAAATAAAATTGGTCAGTCATTGCATGTTTGTGGGACATTGCTGTGCACAACTGACTGCCGCATTTTGCCCAGAAAATACAGTCAATCAACTTTATAGTGTACCAACAAGAATAACAAATTACATTTATACTGCGCCTTTCACATCGGAAGAACGTCCCAAAGTGCTGGACAGTTAAAGGGCTGCACCCAAACTGAAGTATGGATTCAAAAGAGTTAGAGGGGAAGGGGAGGGGGATGGGAGTATGACCAAATCTTGTGACGTGCTTTGAGATGTCTCAGCAACGTGATAAGGTGCTATATCAAATGCAAGGATTATTATTACACTAATATTATTGTCCTATATGATTCAATACCATTTAAAACAAACATATTTCACATTCAGTGTTCACTATTAAAGTACATCTTGTGAATCTAACATGAGACACTGTTTACAACTGAAGTGCTCTGAGACGCTATCCTGCGAGAAGGGCATTGTATAAATGCAAGTTGTTGTTATTGAAATAGATGACAAACAATGGGTTACTGAGAAATGAAGCTGCTCTCGACAAAATGGCTCCAATGTGGTGGGATTGGCAAAAGAAGGTCAGAGTTAAGTTCTCTCTGTGACGGTCTCCAGTCAGGTTACTGAGCTGGGCAGATCGGCAGGGCACCGCTGATGACAGAAAAATTTTACAGAAAAATGTGTGAAGCTTGAGGCGACGTATTTAAGCACTATAGGAAATGTGAGAGTTATTATGTCAGTGTCAGGACACTCCGAGTTAACTATCTACTGTTGGCATTTTGAATGTATAAATTACACTAACCTCGGATTGAATTGTTTTTGTTTCCTTTTTCTCTGCGCCTGGTAGAAACAATTATTTAAAGAATGTTCCAAGTTATCGTGAAATGTGAAATAATAGTTTTCTTAAGAACAAAGTAAAAAATATATCTGGAAAGTGGTGTGTGAGGCACTGCAGCAGAGGGCGGCTGGTGTGGCTATGGTTCAAGGTGAGACCGGTTATTCTATGGCTTTTCTCTCCTGATCAGAGACCGGGAGATGTGATGCAGTTATGTAAGATTATAAATGCTCCAGGAAATGTAATTATTTTTCTAGTGTGCACACAATTCCAGAATAAGTGTCATCTTCTTCAAATGTTGGACAAAAAGAGGGAATTAGGAAAAGAGGAGAGGAGGTTAGGTGTGTGGCATGTCAGGTAGAATCGTCACCTACAAGACGTGAAAAGCGCTATATCAAATGCAAGGATAATTAATATTATTATAATTATTATCATTACAATGGTTTCAAAATAACTTTGAATGGGAACTCGTCAAGCACCTGTTAGCTAAACGATTCAAAGTTATTCACTTTAGAGGTGGATGCACTATATGGAGCAAGCTTGTTTGGGAAGTGGATAGTAATTGGATATAAATGTCAACCATGTCGCTAATAATATAAATATTAATTTATGATTTAATTTAATAATGGGCTTCAATCAACTCTGTACACTGTCGTTCAAATGTACACTTCAATTTGTCATATACGTTTGATTCTGTAAGAGGTTAAATCAGCATTAGACAGACAGGATATTAATAAAAACTGAAGGATGTAACACGTTATTCTTTCTCTGTGGGAGTCCCCGAGAAACTTATTCACTTCGCAGTGTTGTTGCCCCGAGTCCCTGGGAACACAACAGGTGGGATCCAGACCCAGTCCTCACAGCCACTCGGGTCCGGGTGTCGCTGTGACTCGGTATCATTGGAGATTTATCATTTATTGCATCATAAACATTAAATTGTAAAAATGATTTCGCTTCTTACCTTTGCGACAGATGAGAAAAATGACCGTCAGTACAATTAGCAAAACAGCGGCACCGCCTGAGATCAGAGCGTATCTGAGGTCGGAGTCAACTGCGGGTTCAACAACAACAACAACAGCACCGCGACATTACAGCACAAACTCACAGCGGATCCCTCGGAGCTGCAGCGGAGCTCTCAAATACTGTAAAGGTCAGTTCAACAATTTCTTTCTCCCTCCAATCGCAACCAATCCACAGAGTGACGGCAATAACCCTTTATATTTAACCGTATATAACGTTGAATAAGCGCTCGCGGTTCGCTCAATGAGGTAATCTGTGGGCGGACCTCAGCCCTTCAGCCCTTCCCGGTCCCTCGGCACATGGGAATGGGCTCTGAGCCGCACATCAACTTTCAATACCGATTTTGTTATCATGATTTTATGATTAGGAAAATGAACGAATTTAGAAACTGTCATAATTTTTTAGAGACCAAAAACCATTCAATTTATCAAAGATGTAGACTGTCTCACGGTGGTGACCCCGAAAGCTGAGGCTACGCTGAGCTTCATTGATAAAGGACGTCACTGATGTGGGGGATGGGGGGGAGAGACAACCCGGGTCTCCTGGGGGGAGACAACCCGGGTCTCCTGGGGGGAGACAACCCGGGTCTCCTGGGGGGAGACAACCCGGGTCTCCTGGGGAGAGACAACCCGGGTCTCCTGGGGGGAGACAACCCGGGTCTCCTGGGGGGAGACAACCCGGGTCTCCTGGGGGGAGACAACCCGGGTCTCCTGGGGGGAGACAACCCGGGTCTCCTGGGGGAGACAACCCGGGTCTCCTGGGGGGAGACAACCCGGGTCTCCTGGGGGGAGACAACCCGGGTCTCCTGGGGGGAGACAACCCGGGTCTCCTGGGGGGAGACAACCCGGGTCTCCTGGGGGGAGACAACCCGGGTCTCCTGGGGGAGACAACCCGGGTCTCCTGGGGGGAGACAACCCGGGTCTCCTGGGGGGAGACAACCCGGGTCTCCTGGGGGGAGACAACCCGGGTCTCCTGGGGTTAAACACAGACAGGGTTTCTTCCCTTAGAATATTCAAATAAGACATGTTGACCTTAGCCCCTGTAACAACATTTAGAACTTGGTTAAGAAAAAAAATACAAACAACATGACACGATAAATATTTTTCACTTGGAAATACAACAACAACAAGATTCCATTTATAGAGCGCCTTTCACGTCTGGAGGACGTCCCAAATAAAATAAAAAGAGAATCATCATCTACATTCTGGTTTGGAGCTCGGCCTGAGCTGAGCAGCGGGAAACCCGCCCAACACACATCAACACTTATACACTTTGTGGAGTCCTGTAGCTCAGTGGTTAGAGCACTCGCTTTGCAAGTGAGAGACCTGAGTTCAATCCCAGGCAGAGGGCGAAACCTTGGGCAAGTTTCCTTACTCCACACAGAGCCTAATAATAATCCCTCCAAAACCAAAAACAATAATAAATTGGTCATTTTCAATCTACGACTGTTTGTGGGACATTGCTGTGCGCAATTGGCTGCTGCGTTCGCCCACAAATATACAGTCAATTCCCTTTACAGTGTGTTCTGTGAAGCGCTTTGGGACGTCCTCCCGACGTGAAAAGCGCTATATCAAATGCGAGGATTATTATTATTATTATTATAATAATAACTCGGGCATTTGTCACAGCACCTGCAGTGTGGACACTTTCACGGGCAAATGCTCTAAAGTCCAGTAACTATTTACAGGGAGAATAACAACTTAAGATCGAAGTCCATTTCAGCTCCAAATCTAAACACTTAAATTGCTTTTGTACATAGCGCCCCTCCTGCAGGGGGAGCGGCTCAGAGGGCACCACATCTTGGAAGAGGAACCAGTGTCTTTGGACATGAGTGAGGAGCGAGGCTCTGGCTGATCTCCTCCCCCACTGCAAGGCCTTCTACATAAGAACATAAGAACATAAAAATTAGGAGCAGGAGTCGGCCATTCGGCCCTTCGTGCCTGTGCTCCGCCATTCAATAAGATCATGGCTGATCTTCTGACCTAACTCTGATTACCTGCCCTCTCCCCATATCCCCTAATCACTCTATTTTTCAAGAATCTATCAGTCTCAGCCTTGAAAATGTTCAAGGACTGAGAATCTACAGCCTTCTGGGGAGTGAATTCCATAAGTTCACTACCCTCTGAGTGAAGAAATGTTTCCTCAACTCTGTTCTAAAAGGCTGACCCTTCATTTTAAGACTGACTCCTGGTTATAGATTCTCCCACCGGGGAAACAGTCCCTCTGTGTCTACTTTATCAGCCCTTTAAGAATCTTATAAGTTTCAATAAGATCCCCCTAATTCTTCTGTACTCTATAGAGAATACAGCCCCAGTTTATTCAGCCTATCCTCATAGGTCAGTCCCCTCATCCCAGGCACTAACCGAGTGAATCTACGCTGCACCCCCTCGAGGGCAAGTATGTCCTTTTTTAAATAAGGAAACCAAAACTGCACACAATACTCTCGGTGCGGTCTCACCAAAGCCCTATACAGTTGCAGCAAGACTTCCCTACTCTTATATTCTAAACCTTTGGCAATGAACGCTAACATGCCGTTCGCCTTCTTAGTTCTGCTGCACTGCAAACTAACTTTTTGGGACTGGTGTACAAGGACACCCAAATCCCTTTGAATACCAACACTATCTAACTTCTCCCCTTCCAGAAAATAATCTGTTCTTTTATTCTTGCTGCCGAGGTGAATAATTTCACACTTGCTAACATTGAATTCCATCTGCCACCTACTTGCCCACTCCCCGCGCCTATCTATATCCTGTTGCAATCTTTTTGCATCATCCTGAGAGCTCACTCTGCTACCGAGTTTAGTATCATCCGCGAATTTAGACACATTACATTCAATGTCCTCGTCCAGATCATTGATGTAAATGGTAAATAGCTGAGGCCCAAGCACTGATCCTTGTGGCACTCCACTAGTCACATCTCCTGCCAATTCGAGAATGATCCGTTTATCACTACTCTCTGCTTTCTACCCGATAGCCACTCTTCTATCCATGTTAATATTTTCCCATTAATCCCATGGGCCTTGATCTTGAGTAACAGCCTCTTGTGTGGCACCTTGTCAAATGCCTTCCTAAAATCCAAATATACCACATCTACTGGTTCCCCCTTTTCCAACCTCCTGGATACATCCTCAAAAAATTCTAAAAGGTTAGTCAAGCATGACTTCCGTTTTGTAAAGCCATGTTAACTCTGCCTAATCTTTTTATGGTCTTCCAGGTATCCCATAACTACATCTTTTATTAAGGACTCAAGAATTTTCCCTTCAACTGACGTCAAACTAACTGGTCTATAGTCCTGTAGCTCAGTGGTTAGAGCACTCGCTTTGCAAGTGAGAGACCTGTGTTCATTTCCAGGCAGAGGGCGAAACCTTGGGCAAGTTTCCTAACTCCACACAGAGCCTAATAATAATCCCTCCAAAACAAAAAAAAAACAATAATAAATTGGTCATTTTCAAGCTACGACTGTTTGTGGGACATTGCTGTGCGCAATTGGCTGCCGCGTTCGCCCACAAATATACAGTCAATTCACTTTACAGTCTATTCTGTGAAGCGCTTTGGGACGTCCTCCCGACGTGAAAAGCGCTATATCAAATGCAAGGATTATTATTATAGTTTTCCCTATTTTCTCTCCCATCCTTCTTAAATAGTGGAGTTACGTTTGCAATCTTCCAATCAATGGGAACTTTTCCAGTATCCACAGACTTTTGAAAGATTATAGACATGCCATCCACTATCTCAGTAGCCACCTCCTTTAAAGCTTTCGGATGCAGGCCATCCGGTCCAGGGGATTTATCGGTTTTAAGAGCCGACAATTTACCTAGAACCATCTCTTTACTAACGTTAATCTCCCTAAGTTGCTCGCTAACATTGTCTTCTTGGTCCTCTAGTTTTGGTATGTTTCCAGTGTCTTCTACAGTGAAGACTGGAGAAAAATACTTGTTTAATGACTCTGCCATGTCTTTGTCCCCCATAATAATTCCTCCAGGTCTCTGCCTGTAATGGACCCACATTCACCCTCGCTCGCCTTTTCCTCTTTATATATTTGTAAAAACTCTTGTTGGAGTCTGTATTTATGTTCTTTGCCAGTTTGCCCTCGTAATCTATTTTCTCCCTCTTGATCAATTTTTTGGTCCTCCTCTGTTGTTCCCTAAAGTTCTCCCAATCCTCGGGTTTACTACTCATTTTCGCTGTTTTATAGGCTTTTTCTTTTGATTAGATACTGTCCCTAACTGCTCCAGTTAGCCACGGCTGCACCACCTTTCCCGTGGCATTTTTATTCCTCAAAGGAATATGTGCTCATTGGGAATTTTGCACTACCTCCTTGAATGTCTGCCATTGCTGGTCTACCGTCAAATCTTTAAGTTTAGTCTCCCAGTTTATTCTGGCTAAATCCTCTCTCATACCAATAAAGTTGGCTCGATTTAAATTGAAGACTTTTGCTTCAGACTTAACTACTTCCCTCTCTAACTTAACGCTAAATTCGATCAAATTATGATTGCTTTGCCCTGGAGGAGCCTTAAGTTCCAGTTTGCTGATCAGCCCTGTTTCATTACACAAAACAAGGTCTAATATGGCTTGTTCCCTGGTCGGCTCCTCAGCATATTGATCTAGAAAATTATCTCTAATACATTCTATAAACCTTGTCCCCTTGTGACCCGCATCTTCCCCAGGCACACATAGTCCCGCATGGTCTAGTTATATACAAATAGAAGTCGCCGGGAAGACTCAGCAGATCTGGTGAGTGCTGAGTGTTCCCGGTGACTTCTGCTTTTGTTTTCAGATTTCAGATTTCTAGCATCTGCAGTATTTTGCGTTTGGTCCAGTTATAAACTGGCCCTGAGCTCTCCAACAGCCTACACTTATACAGCGCTCTTCACATCTCGGTGAGACGTCATCCTGACTTACATATTTGTCTGAGGAGCTGGTAACCTTATAATAAATAAGAACAACTTTCCCAATATTTTCCCTTTTCCTGATTAAATAGGATCAGGTGGTGAGTGACTTGGTGTTTGCTTATACATTGACTATATATTTTGCATTCAATTTGCGAGAACCATAACTAGATATTCCACAGTGTCCGCCAAAGAGCAATGATGTGATTTACTGTGTCACCAATTTAGCGTCATGCTCTGCGCTTGGGTTTGGTATAAATGAAATGTTAAGTTACAGAAACTATCGGGCCAGATTTGTTTCAATATATCATTCCAATCTACACCGTCAGCTGTGTTGTCAGTGACAGTCAGTAAGCTTACCTGTGGAGTTGCCTGTCTCAGTGCCAGGGACAGTGTAGCTGATGTTGGCGGCAGTGGGGAGGGACAGGTGAGATACGTGACAGGTATAAACAGCTCCGCTCTGCACCGCCTCTGTCTCGATCAATAAACTGGAAGCTTCATACAGCCCCGCGAGGTTCCTGTTTGTATTTGTTCCACTTACAATTTCTGATCCATTTTTACACCAAGTGATATTCACATCCTCCGGGTAAAAGGCCGCCGTTTTACACACGAGGGTCAGAGAAGCCGCAGCTCCGCTCCCGGACCGTGAGACCACCATCTCCAGGGGGGTCGGGGGCACTTGGGATAGAAACAGAAACACATGTTGCATTTACACAGGTGGCAATATATAAATATAACCCAAGTTTATAATGCGAGTCCTGAAAGTTAGATAAGATTGACTCTGTAAAAGCAGAGTAAACCCAGCCTCCTGTGATTTAATAATCACATCGAACTAGTTACTGCTGCAAACCAGGTGATATTGTTACCCTCAATCCTGAATATACTTTAAACGTTTGCACAATGTGTGCGTTTTAAATGAAAAACTCCTAAAATTATGTTATATGTTTCATCTTGAAATATCAGCATTGCTTATCAGTATCAGGCCCCATGTTCTCCCCCCTCCCCATCCCAGGGCTCAGATCCACTCAGTAAATCCCTGTAAATATCTGCAACTATTATTGTGCAACTTCACCCTCTTGTACTTGGTATATTTGTTGCCGCCCTAAATAACGGATAAAGGGAAATACTCTGTTCACCCTGGAAAGTAAACACTGTATTTTACAAATCCAACAATATATCTATTGATATAGGCTGTTCTGAAGCAGGGGTAAGCGGGGTCTTCCTGGGGCTGAACTGGCTCCAAGGTGACATGTTTGGCAGCGAAATGTCAAATTCAAGCCAAACCTCCGTGGAGGGCTGTAGTCCTGTTCCTGAGCCAGGCGGGTCTGCAGTATTCCAGGGCATTGGTGATGACAGCACAGCCCGGCCTGGCTCATTGGCACGGCTTGGAAGGGCCAAATAGTCACTGGGGGCAGGAAGTTATCCCACTCAGCCCGTTAATGCTGCAGCCAAAGCCCTAACGGGTAGGTAGGGTGGTTCTAGCTGGATAAGCAGCAGGAAAGCTTGTCAGACAGTGATATCAATGGCGAGCTGTGTGGGTTTAGCTGGTTAGACTCCAGCAGCATCGCAACTCACAATCAAGATTCCGACATTGGCTTTAATCAGCCCACACCTGACAAAATACTACTGCAAGTTGGTAAACAGGTTACATCCCACAAAGAGAGAGAGAGCTTTCGACACCAATACGTGTAAATCTCCATATGTAGGTGGGATGCACGGAATTCTCCGTTTGGTTTGGACACTTTTAAGCTTAGTTATGGGTTTCTGCATGTGTCAGACACCCGGCTGGGCAAAATGCAGTGCACCGAGGGAGAACAGAGGACTCCAGGATGGATTTCCGAGGGCAGGGGTGGGGGGAGGCAGCGTTCATTTGGAAGAATTAATAGAAATAACCAGTGGAAATAGTTTCTCCCTATTTAACTTCTCAAACACCTTAAGAGTTCTGAACAGCTTCTCTCAGCTTCCTGTTCCAGTTGAACATTACTTCCCTGGTCTGTCCTATACTTCTCTATACCCTGACATAGTTCCTAACTGGACACATACCTGTGGCCTAATAAATGATTTACATTATTTTAGAATTACCTATTTGTTTTTTATTGAATGGCCCACATAAAGAACCTTGGATTTCATTGTTTTAAACTGTCGCCAATTTACCGTCCAATTTTATACGATTAAAAATGTTCAAAATGTTAGATATTCATCAGCAATTCTCAACATCACTTTGTGCAGAATTTACAAGATGCAACATTCAAACCCGGGGAACAGTAGTACATTGGGGGAGAACAAGCCACGTGCAACATTGACATGTGTTCCTTCATCACCGCCAAAGGAAAGATCAGAGCGGAACCTGGACACTGACTGTTTGTTACAGACGCTCATTAATGCTCTGATCGATCCCGCGGCACAACTCGAAAAGGAGAGGGTGCTTTATCTCTCCCGGTGTCCTGGACAACAATCACTTCATAAAAATTGCCCCCCACTTCGTACTGTTTGTGAGACATTGCTGTGTGCAAACTGACTGCCACGTTTGCCTAAAAAACACAAAGTTACCCCACTTTACAATGAAGTGCGTTGAGACGTCTCAACGACGTGATCAGGAGCTATATCAAATGCAATATTGTTATCATTATACCCTGAGAAGCACTTTGGGATTTCTTCCCGTCATGAAACGTGCTACAACAAGTGCAAGGATTAATATTATACAGCAGTGCTACCAGTTTGCTGATACAGGCTGACACACTTCCCTTCCCTCTAAGATTAAAACAACCAAATACTGGAAATTTTAATGAAAGCTCGACACCAATGAACATTAACTTCTGGCTAAATTACATTTTTATTTTCTCAGACATTCATTAATACTAATCGACTCCTTCGATTTACTTTGGAGGAATGTGAGGATTCCAAGGCATCCGTCCAGGACCCAAGTCCGTCATGTCAGCCTAGCCCAGTGGTAGCGCTCTCGCCTCTGAAGGTTGTGGGTTCAAGCCCCACGTCTTGAACTCACATCGTCTAAACTGACACTCAAATGAAGCGCTGGGGGAGTGCTACACGGTCGGAGGACTGTCCTTCAGATGAGACATTAAACCAAGGTCCTATCGGACTTTCGGGTGGATGTTAAAGATCCCATCAAAATGAGACGAGAGTTTCTCTCTCTGGTGTCCTGGCCAACAATCCCCCCAAATAGGTCATTCGTTTGGTCAATGTATGAGCAACACTGCATTCTACAGTATATCCTCTATTTACTGCATTCCAATAATAGAGAATCTATAACTAAATAATTTATAATAAATAGTAATCCTTGTATCTGATAAAGCATCTTTGGCATTGGGAGAACGCCTCAAAGTGCTTCACACGATTCACTTTAAAGTGCAGTGACTGTGTTTTGTAGGTGAAAGTGGCAACTAATCGCCCCAGCAATGTTCCACAAACAGCCACGAAAGAGCAATTTTATTTGGAGTATTGCCGGCCAGTAATTATCTAAACCCACAACTATGCTCGTTGTCTTCATCTCTTACTGTTTGAATGTGAACCACGTTGGTCACGTACTGAATTGATAAAACAATTGAGGGTGAGAACAAGCCTTCAGAAAAGCTTATGGTTATTGCTTCATGATATGTCACAGTCAATAAAGTATTTACATGTTAAGCATATCTAAATATGAATCGACAACAGGGCTCTCATTATTTTGGAACCAACCCCTTACAAAGAAGATGTGTAAGACAGACAGAACAGTTATTCACATTAACCAGCAATATAAACTATATTAGTTCTTTCTTTTACGATGAGACTCATACAAAGCTGGCTCACCACCCGAAGCTGGCTCTCTGGTCACACAGCGATAGGCTCTCAGTCATTTAAAGTTCATGTTAGAGGATTGCATGAGCTGTGTGATTGGTGTCCATTGAAACATACTTATTTCTGTAACATTTCCATAGTGTTTAAACGGGAATTTGGTCCCATTTTACTTCGCAATAATAATTGTTTGTATGTAGCAAAATGTATAACGGACAATTGTAACCAAATATAAGAACATTGTTTGGGTGAAAGTTGCAAAATACAAAATATATTTTATTATAACTTTATTAAAACCCGAAAAAAACCTAACCCGCCGCCTCGACTGTCACTGCGGCTACTCACCGAACACCAGCAGCCGTGTGCCAGGGCCCTGCGCTCCGCTTCTGTGTCTCACTCGGCAGCGGTACACTCCCGCGTCCTGCAGTCTGGCTGAGAACAGCTGCAATGCACAACTTGCTCTGTTTAGGAAATAAATCTGGATCCTTCCATCTCTGCCGTCCTCCAGGGAACGATTTTCTCCTTCTCGCCACCAGTCCACCTTTGCTGGTTTCTGATCTTTATAGAGTGGCCAAAAGCAGTAAATGGTAACTTCTCCGCCTCTGCTCACTGTGGCGACCCGAGGGTTTTGACCCACAGTCAGTGAGGTCCCGCCAGCCGCTGCCAAAACAGAAAACCATGTGTGTGCAACACAAGCGACCAAAGACCAAACAACTGCTATAAGCTCAACCAAACACGTGCGGGAAACAGAGAGCGACATTCAACACCGACTACAGGGCTGGGGAGAAATGAGCAGCAATGGTGTGAGTGAGGAATGAGCAGATTACCTGTGTGAATAGCCCCCAGCAGCAACAGGCAGTGAGGGACACATGTGGCAGCCATGGGGAGCTGTGTCAGGGACCTGGGGGCAGATTAGGGATTGGAGTTAGCACCAGAGCAATTGGAAACGGACAATGACGTTCAGCATCACGTGCCGACACTTGAGTTTCAACAACAACAACTTACTTTCATATGAGAGCGCAACAACACATTGCGGTTATACAGCGCCTTTCACATTGCGAGGATGTCCCACAGCGTTGGACAGTCCAAGCTGGGGGTTGAAGTCAAGTGCGGTGGAGGGCAAGGGGGTGGAAAGATGACTGAAGGTGCTGTCGAAGAGGAAGCTCTTGAGACGGACTTTGAAGGAGGTAAGGGAGGGAGGGAGAGGGTGGGTGGGTTAAAGTGCAGGGGCAGAATGTCTCAAGGCCTGACCACTGATGATGGGGTGGTCCGGTCAGAGACCACCGAGCGGAGGGAGCAGACAGGTCAGTAATGTTTAGTAGGTCACAGAGGTTGGAAGGAGAAAGACCGTGGAAGGCTTTAGAGGTGAGGATGAGAATCTTAAACGCTACCCTCTGGGGAACGGGGAGCCAGTGGAGCCGGGCGAGAATGGGGAATGATGGGGTCACGGAGCTCAGTGTGGGAGAGGATACTAGCTGCAGAGTTGTGTATAACAGCACATGGGATAGACCTTTACACAGAGAGGATGATCAGAAGAGGATGGCATCCTTCTGTGCTGTATAATTCTATGATTCCATAACCGATGGTGGTCTTATTACATGTCCGTGTGAGAAGATATGATTTGCTGAGGTTATCTTTCAGCAGATACGGAGAAGTGAGATGTGGGAAGGACCTGCCCGGCTGGACAGGACAGGGAGCTGCAGTGGGGACAGATCAGGCCTGTTGGATGTGCCCAGGATAAAAATTGGGGAATGGACAGCTCAGAGACAGAGGCAGAGATGAGGCTTCCTGAAATAGGGAGAAATCCTGCCGAATCTTTGGACTAACTGTTGGTGTCAATTTGCACTTTCGTTGTGCCTATTCAATCTTCGAAAATCCAACCACAATGTCTGTGGTCAGTCGCTAATCTAACTCTTCTGAACTGATGGGAGCACTTACTGTAAGAGCTCACACCACACTGAGCGCTGGTACCGTCCGCTACAGCCACAAACACAGCTACAGTGTGGAGTGGGCTATGGGTATCTCAAGCTGTGCTGTGACAGTGTGTAACGGCGCCTCGTGTGCTGCACATTGACATTGTTGGAAAGACTCACATGAATTAGAGCGAAGACAACGTGTTCCCCATTGACGGGAGGGTTCCCAAGCCTTGGCCGCCGGCCCAAGGCCAATGGCTGGTGTGTGACCAGGAGCCATGTGCTGCCACATTGATCTGCCTTCACCTCGCCCACAGCGCGCCCTCACTCCACAAACAGCAAACACACTCTGACGCCTCGGAGACTTTCTCCCAAGTGGAAAGCACATTTCAAACATTTCAAACCTGACCAGAGCGGGAACTGAGGCTCATTTTCTTCTCCCCCCAAATCCCGACCAGAAACAGCCAACTCAGCAGCGATGGGCAATAGGAGCTCACACTTCCCAACTGTGTGGCTGAGGAGCGCCTGGTGTGCTGCTGTGTGGATGGACCCACTCGCTATACTGCTCTGTTAGTTGTGGAGTTCATGTGAGGATGATGTTGATAGTAAACTCTGACATTATAAATGTCACATATGTCCCGTGTTGTGTGTTAGCTCAGAAACTGGGACTGTGTTTGAGTGCTGAGTTGGTAACTGGACTCAGGAAACCAAAAGCTTCTGAAGTCTCATTCTCAACCCTCTCCCACAAACCCCTCTCGTTTATTTCTTTGAGACTATTTTCCTCTCGATCTATTGGGAGTGTTTGGGTTAAATTGCCACAGCGGCACTCGGGGCACATACACATCGTGTTACTGAACGATTCCCTGCACTGCTGTATTCCCTGTCAGTGCCCCCACCCCCCGCGCTGTTTGCCCACCAGGTACCCTCTCAGGGTCGGGGCTCCTCGCACTGCGCCTCACATATTGAGTGTGACTGAGCTGTGCTCATTGCCACCCGCAGCTCCCCCTGTGCTCCCGAGGTTCCTACTGATTCGGACATAAATAATCTTCAGGCCGCTGCTGGGAAAGTATAACCAGATTTCCTGGTGCCAAATGGGAATTAAATTGTTCTGCTATCGTGTAAATGTGTGAGATTTGGGGCAAATGACTTCCCCGCAGTATTTTTCGAAAATCTAGTTTGTAAATTGAACCCATTCCCCACAGTGCTGCGCCGGTGGTTGGTTTGCAAACCCCACAGTCGCGGGTTCAGAGATTTAGTGAGATTCAAAGATTACGCATCTGTGGTCACTTTCTGTGCATTGGCAATGTGCAGTGCGGTGTCAACGTGCAGTTGCGATTGTCTTTAAATATATTGAATGGTACGAAATTGCTGGGTTTCTCATTTTGCCTGAACATCTTCACAACTTCAGGTGAAGAATATCTGATCTGATACCAGTTAAAGGGGACAACATAGTGATTGGCAGCTGCATTAGGCAAACAGAGAGCTCATGACAGTTTCCAAAAGACCAATGTGCAAGTAAACTGATCTGAATATAAATACAAATCGCAGTCTAAATAACAGGGTGAGTTTCCACAGCGTCACCTACGGGGACAATATGCAAAGCAAAACCAATTTAAATACCAAGTTAAATACAAGGATTCAAAGCAAATGTTTTTGATACTATGGAGCAAAAATATATACTAATATTTTCATTTGAAGCATAAGATGACAGCGAGTTCCAAAGTTTACTCAAACAAGAAGTTTAAACAGAAATCTCTTATCGAGTTGTGACTAAACAATGTTACACGCCTGTGCTCGGTGCTCGCCTTGGTGTACATGTGGCGCCCATAATAATCCCTCCAAAACCAAAAACAATAATAAATTGGTCATTTTCAATCTGCGACTGTTTGTGGGACATTGCTGTGCGCAATCGGCCGCCGCGTTCGCCCACACATATACAGTCAACCCACTTTAAATTTACAGTGTGTTCTGTAAAGCGCTTTGGGACGTCCTCCCGAGGCGAAAAGCGCTATATCAAATGCAAGGATTATTATTATTATTATTATCATTTCCTCTGTGTGTATTTGTGTGTCTCAGTGGAGAATTACAAACCTACCATTAACTACCCTGAGGTAAGAGTTTTCCTTCGGTGAAATTTTTTTAATAAATATATCATATAGTTTACATAAGACAGTATCAAATGTCACGATTATTATTATATTATTATGTAATAGTCCTTGATTGCTTTGTTGGGATTTTTAATCATAAAACGATATACGATGGCATTGCTTGAGGCCATGACTGCTGAAAACCTCGTCTGCTGTACATTGATATTCTGCGCCCAGAGCCGGGACGCGGGACGCAGTGGGGAGGGGGCGCGTATGTGTGGTGTTCCATGGGCGGTAGATGTGAGAAACAAAGTTTTGACCTGGCAGCCGGTAAATTCTGGATTAACAAGTGTGGCAGAGGCGTTACGAGTTGTGCGATTAATAATAATAATAATCCTTGTATTTGATATAGCGCTTTTCACATCTTCTAGACATCTCCAAGCGCTTCACAGAATAGACTGTAAACAACAGCAACAACAAGATTTCAGACCCGAGCTGAAATGGGGGGGTAAGGGAGCGGAGGGGAAGGGGGTTGGCCGATGGCATGGTTTACAAAGTAAAGTGAATTGACTGTATATTTGTCGGCAAACTGCGGCAGCCAATTGCGCACAGCAGTGTCCCACAAACAGTCGTGGATTGAAATGACCAAATTATTATGTTTTTTTGAGGGTTTATTATCAGGTGTGTGGAGTTAGGAAACTTGCCCAAGGTTTCGCCCTGCTAGAAATCAAACCTAGGTCTCTCACTTGCAAAGTGAGTGCTCTAACCACTGAGCTACAGGACTCCATATATATATATATATATATATATATACACAACTTGTTAATATGATTGTTAATATGACTAGCACAGATAAATTAAAGTGGATTTAATAGGAAATTCAATGCGACTTCGTGGATGTATAAGTTAGGCCATTATATGATTTATCCGGATCAGACTCCTGCGAGTTTTACTACTGTATTATTAATTAACAAACTGCATTGATGTACAAGTAATAAACCAATTCTGCAATGCTACAGTGTATATGTTTGGATAAGGTTTTGAAACTTATTTTTGGTCAACAGAATGTGTTCTTGAATCCACAACCTTCTGCCTCAGAGGTGATACAACATCCGCCTGGCTGTCTCCTCCCTTGGCTACCCTCCATGCATCCTTCATCAACCTCTCCTCCAACGCGGCTACTAGCACGGCCCCCACCCTATGTTCCTTTACCCCCGTGCTGCCTCGATTTCCTCCCCACCCATCTTCTGTTGACTTAACTCCCCCTCCTCTGCCCACTGTTGAAACAAACAACCAGTCCCTCTCCTCAGGCTCTGTCCCACTCCCCATCAAAACTGCTGTCATCAGTCCTCTCCTAAAAGAACCTACCCTTGATGCCTCCAACTTCACAAACTTCAGACCTATCTCACCTGCCCTTCCTGGCCAAAGTTTTGAAATGCATGGTTGCAAATCAACTTCTTTCACACCTTGCCCTCCACTGCCTACTTGAACCCTTCCAGTCGCCCTGCTCACAGCACAGAGACAGCGCTCATCAAATAACAAATTACTTCCACTCTCTCTGCGACCAGGGCTCCATCTGCTTCCTTGTTCTCTTGGACCTTCTCCACCATGTCACGCCATCCTCCTCCACTGCCTCTACTCCCTGATTCACCTTAGTGGGACCGCACTTGCATGGTTCGAGTCCTATTTAACAAACCACCAACAATACATCTTGGCAAATGGTGTTTCCTCCCGCCCCCGCCCAATCACCTGTAGGGTAGCCCAAGGCGCCATCTTTGGCCACCTTGGTTTCCTCATCTACATGCTCACTCTCAGTGATGTCATCTGCAGACATAGAATCATAGAATCGTACAGCACAAAAAGAGGCCATTCGGCCCATCGAGTCTGTGCGGCTCTTTGAATAGAGCAATGTAATGTCAATCCCACTCCCCGGCCCTTTCCCCATAACCTGCAAACCCGTCCTCCTCAAATACCCGTCCACCGCGTTTTTAAAAGTAGTTATCGAATCGGCCTCGACCGCCCTTTCAGACAATGCGTTCCAGATTCCAACAACTCGCTGCGTGAAAAAATTTCTTCTCCCCTCCCCTCGGCTTCTTTTAGAGACTATTTGGAATCTGTGACCTCGAGTCACCGACGCACCCACCAGTGGGAACAGTTTTTCCCTTTCTAACCTATCAAATCCCCTCATGATTTTGAAGAGCTCTATTAGGTCCTCGTCACCTTCTCTGCTCCAATGAGAATAATCCTAACCTCTCCAGCCTTTCCTCATCATCACGGCCCCTCATTCCTGGTACCATCCTCGTAAATCTCCTCTGTACCCTTTCCAATGCCTTAACATCCTTCCTATAGTGCGGTGCCCAGAACTGGGCGCAGTATTCTAACTGAGGCCTAACCAGTGTTTTATATCGGTTAATCATCACCTCCTGACTCTTGTACTCTATGCCACTATTTATAAAACCTAGTATTCCATATGCCCTTTTGACAGCGTTATCTCCCTGTCCTACCACCTGCAAGGATTCATTTACCTGATCCCCCAGGTCTCTCTGTTCCTTCACTCTCCTTAAGGTTGTATTACCGCCTATATTGCCGCCTCTCATTCTTTCTACCAAAATGCATTACTTCGCTTTTCTCCACATTGAAACTCATTTGCCATGTGTCGCCCATTTTATCATTCTGTCTGTGTCCTCCTGCAGTCGGCTCCTCTCCTTCTCACTGTTTACCCCCTCCCTAACTTTGTGTCGTCCGCAAACTTGGAAATGGTACTTGCTATACCCAAGTCCAGATCATTTGTGTATATTAAGAAGAGCAGTGGTCCAAATACCGATCCCTGGGGGACACCACTGTACACTTCCCTCCAGTCAGTAAAGCAGCCGTTCACCACAACTCTATCCATTTCCTCTGCCCTCTCCTCCGATACTGCGGCATTTGGTGCATCCACTTCTTTTGTGAAGACAGATGCAAAGTCCTTATTCAGCACATCAGCCATGGCCTCTGCCTCCATAGTAAGATTTCCCTCTTGGTCCTTAATCGGTCCCACCCTACTTGTCTCCCGGCCCGTTCTGGATCCGCTGCCACTGTCCCTTTTATACCATGGGCTTCTATCTTTCTTACAAGTCTTTCATGTGGCACTTTGTCAAATGCCTTTTGAAAGTCCATATAAACTACATCAACTGGACTACCTTTATCCACCCTCTCCGTTACCTCATCGAAAAATTCGTTAGACATTTGTTAGACAAGATCTGCCTTTAACAAATCGGTGCGGCTGTCCCTAATTAACCCATATTCTTCTAAGTGAAGATTTATTCTGTCCCGGATTATAGTCTCCAGGAGTTTCCCCACTCCTGATGTTTGGCTGACTGGCCTGGAGTTCCCAGGTTTGTCCTTCTGCCCCTTTTTGTATAGGGAGTCACA